ATCTCGGCTCACTGCAACCACCGCCTCCTTGTTCAAGCGATTCTCCTGCCACAGCCTCCCAAGTAGCTGGGATTACAGGCGTGCACCACCACGCCCAGCTAATTTTGTATTTTTAGTAGAGACAGGGTTTCACCATGTTGGCCAGGCTGGTCTTGAACTCCTGACCTCAGGCAGTCCACCTGCCTCGGCCTCCCAAAGTGCTGGGATTCTAGGCTTGCGCCACCATGCCCAGCCTGGCTATGTTAATACTGCAGCGACTCATGTTAGGCCATGCTTGGGCATTGATGCTGTAGTACTGAAGCCCCGTGGCACCAGGGCAGACCAGAATTCTCATGCTCCCTCTGCCGGGGAAGCCACCTAGAGAGGAAAACTAGGGCTTCTAGGAAGCCACCAAGCACCCCAGGCATCTTCCCAACCTCCTCACCAGCCACCTACGTCCTTCTGGAGGAGTCTCCCTCTGTGCACAGATGGAAGCGCACAGCCCCATGTCTCTGTTACAATCTAGGGAGCAAGTTCTGCAGTCTGGCCGCCCAAATGGAAATCCCAGTTCTGCTGCTTGCTGGCTGAGTGACCTTAAACAAAACCTGTCTGTGCTTCAGTTCCCTTGCCTGTCGCTGGGAAGTAATGGTGCCCACCTGGCAGGGTTTTCATGAGGCGTGAATACGCCGTTGAGATGGAGTCCACCATGTGTACGCGGGAAGGCATGGCAGAGCGAGGATGTGGTCAGAGTCACCGTCGCTGCTGACATCACCACACCATCGTGATCGAGACCTGGGCCCTTAATTATGATGCAGTTGCCAAGCTTGTTTCATTTGATCACTTCATAGTTCCATAAGAACAGCAAGGCCAGGCACAGTGGCTCAGACCTGTAATCCCAGCACTTTGGAAGGCAGAGGAGGGAGAATCACTTGAACCCAGGAATTCAAGCCCAGCCTGGGCAACATAGCAAGACCCCATCTCTACTAAAAATTTAAAAAATATTAGTCAGGCTTGGTGGCTCGCACCTGTAATCCCAGCTGCACAGGAGGCTGAGACGGAAGGATGGCTTGAGTCCAGGAAATCGAGGCAGCACTGAGCTATGATTGTGCTTCTGCACTCCAGCCTGGGTGACAGAGTGAGATCCTGTCTCAAAGAAATAAATAAATACATAAACAAAAAGAACAGCTAAGCAAAGCACCTATGATACACACTGGAAAACTCAAGTTTTCTGCAAAATGACGAGATCACACACCTTGAGTATGGTTGTTAGCATACTGGGTAGTTAAACAAGTGAGCTAACTTCAGAGTGACAGCTGACTTCACTAACAGCCTTCTAAGATGGTTCGTGTCTGTCCTTAGGGTGACAAAGGCGCCCCCGGGAGAGCAGGCCTGTATGGCGAGATCGGCCCAACCGGTGATTTCGGTGAGTGTTGCCCGTCCAGTGAAAACAGGGAGTCCACGATTCAGAGCTCTCTGAGCACGTGAGCCAGTATCAGACCTGCAAGTGCTGTTAGGTATTTTAAAGCAAATTATTCTTGTTAGGAATATCACAAAATAGAAGTTGCAAAACTCACAGCCTCCCGGTGGAAAGTCCTGTTCTTAGCCATCTTTTTTGCATTTAACAGGTGACATCGGGGACACTATAAATTTACCAGGAAGACCAGGCCTGAAGGGGGAGCAGGGCACCGCTGGAATCCCAGGTACACGAGTTATTTTCCGTGTCTTCATCTTCAACAACAGCCCTGAGCCTTCGTCTAGGAGCCCGACTTGCCAAACAGATCAAATTTGGTAACAACCAGAAAGCACTTGATAGGGAATGAGGTCTTCAAGCCCAATGTGCAAGAAAGACCGTCAGTTTTAATTAAGTTAAATCTGAAGGCAAAATCAAGACGTCTTTCTCTCTGTGTGTCTCTCTCGTTGATACTGAAAATAGCCAGAATGGACACTCGGTGAATGAGAGTCACTGCAGCCTGTAAAGTGTAGCTGGTGAAAATCCAACTAGCACCCTGGCTCCTGGAACACCTGAGGGGGTGCAGCAGGTGGTCGCTGAGCCGAGCTTCTCAGAAACAGCGAAGGGTCCAGGAAAGGGGGAGTGGCAGTCAGGCCATCGCTTAAGAGAGATACGGAGGCAGCTGACCAGCCCGAGCAAGCTGGGAGGGACTGGGATGGCACAGTGCCTCCCTTCCCTTCTGCACATCACTGAGGTTCCACTCCTAAATTCCTGCCTGCAGTGACGTCTCCAGGGACCTGTGATAATTTTCTTCCTTCTCGGGATTTTCGTTTGGCGGGACCCCACAGTGCTCAAGTTGCTGGAGCCCCAGGTGTTTGCAGGGCTGGCCGTGCTGGGAGAAAAGGAGTCTGTCCAGGGTTGACCAGTGGGGAGACTGCTGGGCTAGTTCTTTGTCTAGAAATTGCTCTGGAAGGCAAAGACGTGTTCGGTTGAGCACAGGATCAGAGAACTGCCGCTGGGAAATAGACGCCCCTGTTTACCAGCCCTCCCGGGCTCCTTTGTTATCTGTGACCTGGGCTCCCAGTGGCTTCCTCCTGAGTGACGGGGAGCTCTGTGCTGCTAAGCCGTCCGACGCTTGGCTGGCTGCGTCTCCCACCCTAGGCCATCACTCTGGCCGTTTGGTTTATAAAGACAGAAACGTGGACCATCATTACCATGCGTCTGTAACGATGGCTTCACTTGTTCAACTGAAAATGTATCAGGGAAGAGACACTACCCCCACCCAAGAATTATTTTTGGTGTTACCCTTTGAACATTTTGGTTTTTGTTAGACTCTGGGGCCAGAAAGGCTTTGGCGTGGAGCCTCCCCTGCGTCCGTCACCAGGAGACAGTATCTCAGAGCTGCGGTCCCACAGCGGAAGGGTGGGGCCAGCTGTGCCCATCGTCCCTGGGGGTGTCCTGTTTTCCCTAAGACAGTGAGGGGTGCATGGGTGCTGCCTTGAAGGCTGGCTCGTGCAGGCTCAGAGGGAGGAACTAGGTTAAAAATCAGCTGAGGAAGGAGCACGGTTAGATGCCTCTCTCCATTCCTGGAGGAGCAGCAGTGCGGTTCTGTACATACTAGAGCTGGGGTTCCCTGGAGCCCACAGGGGTGCGGTGTCTGTTCCAACAGCATGTCTGTGGTTGCAGGTCTGAAGGGATTCTTTGGAGAGAAGGGAACAGAAGGTGACATCGGCTTCCCTGGGATAACAGGCGTGACTGGAGTCCAAGGCCCTCCTGGGCTTAAAGGACAAACAGGTAAAATCTCCCGCAGCCACACAGCCTTCCTCAGGCGGGCCCTCCGGAGACCCCAGAACAAAGGCGGCCAATGTTGTCAATTTCCTCCAATCACACCCAACCCTGGAAGCTCACTCATGCCTGCTGCCCGCTTAGGAGCCTTCCTCAGGGCGGACGGCGTGGGGAGAAACAACCGCCTGGGCTGGGGGGAGACCTGAGAACTGGAGAGAAGCATGGGGGTGAATGAGAAGTGCCTTTTCGGCCGAGCCTCAGTTTATCATATAGAAGCCGACAGTTTGTAAGGGATCCCTTTGCTTGCATTGAATACGCAGAACCCCCTAAGAACATCCTCGGTTAGAGAAGGAGGGCGGACAGTGGGCTGGCTTCCCACGGTGTTGCTGCTTCTGGCTGTGTTTACTCAGCACCGGGGAACGCCAGGAGGCTCATATCTCTAGGCTCTGCCTCGGGGTCCTCTCCAGACATCTATTTGGATAATAGGGCAAGAATTAAAACGACACGCTATTTTCTCTCTGGCAAGGCTGAGCAAATCCTGCTGAATTTGTTTGTGGGGTCTAAGACCACCTGCATCCCCAGCTTGAGGGACAGGTCTAATCTCTCCTGCAACTGGCACTGCAGCCCTTCCAGCCCTCAGCCCCTCCCAGAGCAGCTGCCCCTTCCGCCAGGACCTCACCAGGCAGTGCCCAAGGTGTCCTGTGTGCTCAGACTTAATGCTGTGTTCACTCCCAGGCTTTCCAGGGCTAACTGGGCCTCCAGGGTCGCAGGGAGAGCCGGGGCGGATCGGACTGCCTGGTGGCAAAGGAGATGATGGCTGGCCGGGAACTTCAGGCTTACCAGGTAAGGCCACAGAAAACACACGGTCACCCAGACCCAGAGTCGTGCACTGTGCAGGAGGCACCGCTGGGCAGGCCAGCCTCTCTCAGGGCGGCTTCGAAGGCCCATATGAGAGCAAAGGCAGGTTTGCTGTGGCTTGTGGTGGTCTGCACCAACATAGCAGCACAGGGTATACTGGTGCCCCCAGCAACTGGGAATCAAGCCAGACGCATAAATCTGCCCAGGACTTCACCTCCCAGAAGGATAAATGAAAGCCTCCCAGAGAGACTTCAGGGTCCACTTGTCATCGCCACACAGGGATGCACAGCGCGGGAGTAGCCTCAGTGTCCCACTGTGCCGCACAGGCCGCCCCGGGGCCGCCTTACAGCCCCCTGGCAACCCTGAGATGGGCCACCCTGCCATGCTTACTGCCCACGTCACAGAAGGAATTGCCACCCGTTTGCTGTGTCCTGCTTTAGAAATATTTACCCTCAGAAATCCAGAGGGAATGGAAATGACACCAGGCTATTTGTTCCGAGCAGCTTTTACAAACCAAACATACAACAGTGGCCAGGCGTCAAGAAGAGGTATGGGACATGTCACCCCTCCCCAGGCCCCTTCTGGCCTAGTGAGTCTGTTAAAAAGATTCCATGAAGACAGTGTCCCAGTTCAGTGGTTTTCCTAGGTAACATAAGAGTAGTTAGTTTACATGTCGTGTAAGTTGAGCGTGTGGCTTAGCTGCTTCCTGTTTGTGGGGCTTTAGCAGGATTGTATGGGTGACGGTACCAGGTGACAGTTTCAGAGCCAACAGAACACCTCTGAGTTATCTTGAGGGTTTCTCCCACCCGGAACTCCCTGTGCCATCCTACACGTGAAATAACAATGAGTGACACCCTCACAGGTTTTCCGGGACTCCGTGGGATCCGCGGCTTACACGGCTTGCCAGGCACCAAAGGCTTTCCAGGATCCCCAGGTACTCTGTGCTGAGTCTGCCCTCCAGACTTCAGGGAAAGGAGGGTCTCAGAGAGCTGGGTGGGCTTCCTGAAGTGCTATGTGATGGCCCCTGAGAGGCGGGTCTGGGCCCCGTGGTCCTGTACGCTGCTAAGATGTGATCCCTAAGAATCGGTTTCTCAAGCCAGTTGCTGTGTTGAATGGACCCATCAGGCTTTTAGACAGAAAGAGAAATAGAGTCCTTGCTTTTCCAGCAGCACTGTGTGGAAGGTGGGACGCACCTGCACCCCTCAGGTGTCCAGAGTATTCA